TATATATATATATATATATATATATAATCAAAGAAAGGTAAATACAGAAAATAAGGAACATATTAATGCATCGTGTAGCATAGCTCTCAACGAATATATTCTTATAAATACATTAATAAAGGAATTGTGTAATAAAATACCTCCTATGGGATTCGAACCTGCAACCTCTCGCTGCCAAGATGAGCATCATAACCATTAGACCACAGAGGCTTCATGATTGAAAAAAATCAAATACCGCCAGATACACATTAAGTGCGGCTAGAAACAAATAATTGCATATAATATAAATGAAGATTGCCGTTAACACTGTTAAATCATATACGGTATATAAATCTTCGAAGAAAGGTAAATACAGTGTTCGAATAAAGGACATAATTATACATCGTGTAGCATAGCTCTCAACGAATGTAGTCCTATAAATAAATTAATACAAACTTGTGTAATAAAATGCTTCCGCCCGGACTCGAACCTGCGACCTCACGCTGTCAAGGCGAGCGTCATAACCATTAGACCACGGAGGCTTCATGGTTAAACAGATTCAAATACCACCAGATACACTCTATTACGCAATAAGTACGGCTAGAAACAAATAATAGCATACACTGAAATATAAATCAAGGTAGCCGTTACCACTGTTAAATTATATACTTAAATCATCAAAGAAAGGTAAATACAGTGTTCGAATAAAGGACATAATAATACATCGTGTAGCATAGCTCGCAACGAATGTAGTCCTGTAAATAAATAAATAAATATATATATATATATATATATTATTTATATATATATAATAAAATATATATAATTTAATGCATGTTAATGTATCTTTTTCTTTCGACAAAAAAATCTTTTGTATGTAAATAATACAATAAAGAGTACATTTCGTACTTTCACTCACTTCTCATTAAGACTTCGTATAATTGATTGAACATTGACCAATGAAATAGTCTGTAGGCTGAGACAGGATAACTATAAGCGTCTGGTTTTCAGTACTTCTATGACGGCCACCCACACTTACCATTATTGTTTGCAGTTGACAATTGACATTCATGCAAATTAATAAATGCTGATAGCCACATGAGTCACAAACGCAGTGCTGTTCGCAGCTTCAACAAATTTAAAACGGTAAAATAATGAATCGTTATCAAAGCATGAAAACTAATATATAAAACCCCAGCCGGTTTTGTTTAGATGGCCGATTTAGTGTCACGTCCCATAGAATAACAATTAATAAATCCATCAGCTATCTAGAGTACACTTGACCTAGGCCTGCATTATCTCTTTAGCGTCATCAGACTTTAAGCCGGTGATGTTAATGTTTTCCTTCACTTTTCGATTATAAGCTGCTACTTTGGTATTAAGAAATGAATATAATATTTTTTTTCTATTTATCTTATATTATTGTTATTGTAGGCGTGATGTTTTGCCCTACCTCACGTAGTATATACTCAATACGTTCCCAAATTTACAAACTTACATCGAAGTAGCATGTGCAGTTACCTGCTGATTCACTAGCGATTTTTTTTTTCGCTAGTATTGGGAGCTAGTATTACTGAGTATTTGGTACTAAAACATGTCAGGTAGGGCAAACATCACTTCTATGATATTTTCCTGACCCAAACTTACATCAAAATATTATTGTTATTATTAATTATTATTATTTATTATTATTATTATTATTATTATTATTATTATTATTATTATTATTATTTTTATTATTATTATTATTATTATTACTATTATTATTATTACTATTATTATTATTACTATTATTTTTATTATTACTATTATTTTTATTATTACTATTATTTTTATTATTACTATTATTTTTATTATTACTATTATTTATATTATTATTATTATTTATTATTATTATTTTTTTTTAATATAGGCCTATTATAACATATTCATTTATATATTATTAATTACTATTATTGTCATTGTCATTGTCATTGTCATTATTATTATTATTATTATTATTATTAATATTATTATTATATAGGCCTACTATAATATATTCATTTATATGCGTTAATTCGAGAGGCAATATTCTTGCTTCTTGAGAACAATCTCATGGTCAACCCCGGTCCCAGCATAAGGACCAATGTATCTGTTATGTCAGTACTAGCGCTCCACACACTGTCAAATACTGCGGGTCCATATGGACCTTGCCACAATTTAAAATTTCATTATTTGAAATTGAACAAAAAGGGAAAAAAATATTTATAATATTAACAGTAATGTTTAATTTGTAGATGCTTCATAGACAAAGACTGTAATATATACATATAATCACATATGGTAGTATATTTCCATCAACTTTTAATAAACCATAAAACAATTTAACATAATCTGCAGTATACATGTTTCAGTAGATTAATGGTCTGTGAGACACCAGTAAAAAGCGCTTTATAAATGAAAGTTAGTATAATTATTATTACATGACCATTGTCATCGATACATTGTATTAGGAAAAGTGGAATTCTTTTAAAATTTATATTGTCCTTTAATATAGTATGCACAATGATAATATGATATTATATATGATATGATATTGTATAATATAACCTAATCCACATTGTAAACAACATACGAATCTATATCATCCAATTCTAACTATTTACATCTACAACGTATGTTTGTGACGTCATAATGGTACTGTATGTCAGTAAGATATCACTTATTGCGTTAATTCTAAACACGAATGTGCATTGTATAATACAAATGTCTGAATAAACTGGCATATTTCGAAGATTGTTCAGTGTCTTTAGGTTGATGGTATGACGTAGGTATTACCGGTCACATAACAAGTTTCTTCAGCGTCAGAGCTGCCAGTTTCAAAGGCACATATGCCGCCAGCATCAGAGTCGAAATGGTAACCGGTACAAGACGTGACTCCGAGACAGGCGTTGGCACATCGAAGTAAGCTGTGACTGGTGAATTGTCTCAATTCCCCTTGAAGGCACGCGTCACTACCGCTAACCAGTTCATATGTCTTGGACTGAGGTTGTGCTAAGAAAAAATGCAACGAGTAATGTAACGAAGATGAGTTCAGAATCATTTTGTGAACGATTATGACAATAACATTAGCCACAATTATGATAGTCAAGTAAGTGATCTCTTATACACATCTAGATGTGTATAAGAGACAGAGCATGTGCAGTTACCTGCTGATACGTACACCTGTCTCTTATACACATCTAGATGTGTATAAGAGACATCATTAATATTAATTGTGTGGCTATTTGATCTGAAATTTGTTCATTCTTATAATAGACATTATTCATTACTAAATTATTATTCGTCTTACATATACACTGCTTTTTGTCAGATTTGAGGCGGAATGGGGGATTGCAGCCACAGTAATAGCCTGTGCCATTCCTGACGCAGAATCCTCTCAGGTCATCACAGTCATTTAGAGTTGAATTAGCACAAACATCAATGTCTGATGAAAGAAAAAAAAAGCTGTATAATGCCATAATAATTTTTTTTTTTTATTCTTATCAGTATTAACAAAGATAATAAATAGCAAAAGATAGAGCAGCTTCGCGATTGGAACATCCTGTCGAATGCATTGTGGGAAGAACGGAGAGCAATTTAACCCCATCCACGAGGTGGCGCTATATATTAATAATAGAGGTTTCCTGTAGTTTCTCCACTTAGTTAAATTTTACCCCGCTCGCGGAGGGGCGGATTTTTCATCAATTTTAATGAAAATAAGAAAAAGAACTCATTCTTCTGCTATTTAAGTTCTTTGATATTTGTAGGAATCATGTTTTTGCCCTACCTGACGTGTTATCGTACTGAATGATCAGTATACGTTCCCAAATACTTGCGAAAACAATCTCACAAGTGATTCGGGTGGGAATCGAACCCACGACTTTCGGATAACTAGCTTCATTCCTATTACTATCAGAATATCATTATTTGTATATTATTATAAATTATATTTTGATTCATTTGGAATATCGCTACCAACACGTAATCAATTCGACAGAGTCGATAGTGGACAAAATAGAGTGTATGGGAACTTTTTTAACAATCAACAATATTGAAGTAAAGGTAAAGTTAAAGATAAAGGAAAAGGTAAAGTTAAAGGTAAAAGTAAAGGTAAAGTTAAAAGTAAAGGTAAAGTTAAAGTTAAAGTTAAAGATAAAAGTAAAGGTAAAGGCAAAGGTAAAGTTAAAGGTAGAGTTAAAGTTAAAGTTAAAGTTAAAGTTAAAGTTAAAGTTAAAGGTAAAGTTAAAGGTAAAGTTAAAGTTAAAGTTAAAGTTAAAGGTAAAGGTAAAGGTAAAGGTAAAGCAAAGGTAAAGGTAAAGTTAAAGATAAAGACAAAGGTAAAGGCAAAGAAAAAGGCAAAGGCAAAAGTAAAGTTAAAGTTACTGGTAAAGGAAAAGGCAAAAGATATTAGCCCACAACACTTCAGCATTAAAGGGCGGCCAATTCCTCTAAACGCGTCTTTTTCCTCCCCAGTAGTGAACATCCATGTATTCATTTATACTTGTGGAGAGAGAGCTGAGACAAACGTAGGTAATGTGCTTTGTCGAACTTGTCACAAGCGAAATGCACAGTGAAGGTTCAAACCCCCCGACCTCGAGGCTGGGAGACCGAAACGCAAGAACTGCTCGAATCTTCCCCCACCTCACGCCAACTCTCCCACCGAAGTGCATGTAACAGATATAACAAAATAATAATCCTTGAATATTTATATAGCGCCAATTCCAAAATATATGATCAAATAAGCGCTGTGTGTTACCCTTGGTCATTGAATGGTAAACCAGCACATAAAGTACAACCTTCTCTGCTCCCCGGGGAGTATACCTAGTCATGCGCTACTAGTACATTCAATGCTACAACATCCTTCCAGGTACCCATATATGCTCCTGGGTAGAGAGAGACAAGCATAGATAAAGCGCCTTGCCCAAGGATACAAGCGACTTGCACAGCGACAATTTCGAACCCCAGATCTCGAGGTTGGGAGTCCAAGCCACAACCGATGAGCCAACCGCTTTTACAAATAATAGATTTAAGCCCCTCTACATGAATAGCAAATTTTATTTGACAAAAACATGTGACATGTCTGGTCATGATGACATCACATCATGGCTATATATAGACACATCATGACTAAATATGGGCATACAACAGCTTTTTGTAAAAAAAAAATCGATATTCTGGACAAAGCTTTAGAATAGCCGATAATAACCTGAGCACGTGACTCCATCCGACTGCAGTACGTATCCGTTATGACATGCGCACACGTAATCCGTTCCGTTAGATATACAAAGGCCATGATTCTTGTCACAGATGTTGAGAGTCGAATTCGAACAAGGATCGACTATAAATATAAAGTGATTGTAACAAGGTTTATAACAGCAAAGTAATGATAACAAATCACTATGTGTAAAAATATTGTTGCTAATAATTTTGTTATTGATACGCGCCATGCAAACCTACGAGAAATATATTTAGCAAAGAATGATTATATCAATATCTTTATTAATGATAATAGTAATAATTATTCGGTTGAGGGTAATGATCATTATGGTGCATAATAATATTAAAAACAATAATACAATGTATATAGTAATTATTATAACATTATTTTTATCTTTTATTTATTCATTTTATTTATTTATTTTTTTTATTTATTTTATATTTATTTATTTTTTTTTTTTTTTAAAGTGGCTACGTCTTAAAGCTCTTGTTGAACTTACTGAAGCCTCCTTCCATACAATGTATTTGTTTCAATTCTTTTGCATTCTTATTGTATATTGTATTACATTTTTTGTATGGAAAATAAAAGTATATTATCATAATATTAATAAAGATAATACACTACACTACTACCACTAATAATAATAATGATAATAACACTATATATTGATAATTATTATAATAAAAAAAGCTTATAATAATAACGCATTTACTAACCTATGCACGAATGCCCATCGTCTTGAAGAATGTAATTCACTTCACACGCGCAGTCGTAACTTGTACCTCGAGTTGTGCAGTTCCCGTGTTGTTGGTCACAGTTGTTCAAAGACGAATTGGCGCAAGGGTCCGCTATTATGGATATATAGAATTCATGACGTCGAAATAATAAGGCAAATGAGTAAAACATGAGGGTGGGGTGGCTAGAAAGGCCCATGTCGGCCCAAAAGACAGCTTGTTCCGAATTTACTTAGCAAAAACAAAAACACGCTGAAGTAGTTAAAAATCAACTCATTTTGCCTACTAACCCCATCCCCTAAATTGGTGAGTGCCCCTCTCCCACTTAACATTCTTTCTCTTACCATTAGAGCAAAAATATTAATATAAAAAAGGATTAAGTACACTGGCTATTGAAGTAAAAGTAACAACACAGTGAAAAACAACACACAGCGTGCTTCGTTACGTCATTAGCATTTGTATTTGATTGTAGGACTAAAACTGTATTCTATGCCAATTCGTTAATAAAGCTTTATATTTTGCATTTTATATACACATTGCCGCTTTGAATCGTAATGTAAGGACCTCTAACATCCCGAAAATGGCTCTGGCGACTAGCAGTCTTCGTTCCCTAGGCAGGAGTTTGGTACTCATCATTATAATTAGTATTTTATTTTTTGACCTATTATTAATATTATTATCATTATTATTTGTTTTTGCAATTAATACAGATAGGCAGTGTTAAGTCTAAGCAAGTACTAACCAATACACGTGTGGCCGTCACTTTGAAGCAAGTAAGTTGGTTGGCAGTCGCAGTAATAAGATGTTCCATTATTTAAACACACCCCTACAGCGGGATCGCAGTCATTCGATGATGGATCCGAACAAGCATCAGCTATCGGAGAGATTAAAATTTATTTCATAATAACAATAATAATAAT